TGCTGTGTTCATCCAGCTCTACACCGTGTTATCTCAGATTCTCCAGCATCTGCAGTCCCTACTATCTCTGAAACAACTCCTAAGCTGCTGTATCACACCTTTTATTTAAACCTGTATGTGATAGATTCTCTAGTACACATGTCCAAGAACCCTCTCTTCACATGCATGTGAGTCACATCATCAATTTCATCATCATGGTTTACATGAGTCTCATTATACTGCAACCTGATCCCTGAAATTTACAAGGCATCCACTTATATCTAATTGACCTCATCTCGAGGTCAAACCTTGCTGGGAAAGTAAAAGCATATTAATCACACACTCCATGATTACTACGTAAATCAACCATCAGGTTCAGAGAATTAAGAGATACACCATGAGTTGTGATCCTTAAGAACTTAAAAGTTGATTTTTCCTACTCCAGCATCTGCTTCAGGCAAACAGCATCTTGCAATCAACCTCAAGTTATTTTTAAGAACTTGTCAAATTTTCAGGTTAAGTGCCTATTAAACTCAGCACAGAAATTTGAGGTTGGTAATTAAGAAAATAAGAAGCCTGTTCGAAAGTGTTAATTGCTAACACAATGCCAATCAATCTCTGGCCCAGAGGGAAACAAGGCACATGGTTGAATCCTATTCCTGAAAATAATTTTATTTTCAACCCAATTGCATGCAAGACAGTAAGTTTAACCTCTTTTTAGCAATTTTATACACTGTGCAATAAATTTATGAGCTTAAAAAAAATATAATTTTCTTTCTCTTTCTGTTTCTGATACTACTTTGGAAAGAAAACAAAGGAGTGATGCCCAAAAACCAAATTATATGATCATTTTCACTTCATTGTTTGTGGAATTTTGTCATAGGCAAATTGTCTGCCATGTATTTCAACAAAACAAAATGCTTTGGAATCTCTTCGTGCCAAGAATATCAGGATATAGAAATGGTTTCTTCTTGCATTCATTCTGGTTTCCATTTGAAGAATTTCAAGCATGACAGCAGAGATGATAAGACAGAGCTACCATGAAAGTCCTCTTTCTTGCAGTCCCCTGTTTGAAATGACTTTGCCTCAAGCTGCCTTGTAATTGGTTTTGTTTTGCATTGTCCTAAATGGAATGTGCAAAAATTTGTTTTCTTTAAAATCCCTAATTTGGTATTTAATCCCCAGTCATTCCTAAGAGCAGATTGTGTGAACTTCAGTTCCTGGTCATTGCTGACTTCAGGCTACAGTTTACCCAGCTGGAGCGGGGGAGGTTGGAGAAGTTGATATTTAATTACTCCAAGTTGCTTTCTGATCACTCTACTGGGAGGTACCAGATGAGGACAGCATCAGGATTGACAGCAATTATCTAGTGGCTTGTTCGCACTCACTTTGGTGAAGTGCAGGGTAGATAGGTCAGCATCCTCAAGTGACTGAATAGGGGACAGAATTAGAAAATTACAAACTAAGTTAGAAGAGGAGGCATGTGTGCCCTGTCTACACTGTGCAATCTACTGTTAACACTGGTTTTATAGAGTCATACAGCACGGAAACAGACACTTCAGTCCAACTCGCCCATGCCAACCAAGCTTCCCAGACTAAACTAGTTCCATTTGCCTGCATTTGGCCCATTTCCCTCTCAACTTTCCTATCCATGTATCTGTCCAAATGTCTTTTAAATGTTGTAACTGTACCTGCATCTACCACTTCGTCTAGCAGTTCATTCTATATATGAACCACCCTCTGTGTGAAAAAGTTGCCCCTCGGGTCCCTTTTAAATCTTTCTCCTCTCACCTTAAAAATATGTCTTCTAGATTTGAACACCCCTACCGTATGGAAAAGATCCTTGCTATTCACCTTATCTATGCCCTTCATGATTTTATAAACCTCCATAAGGTCACCCTTCAACCTCATATCCTCCAGCGAAAAAAGTCCAAGCTTATCCAGCCTCTCCTTATCAATTGAACCCTCCAGTCCCTCCAGGTGACATCCTTGTAAATATTTTTTGTACCCTCTCCAATATAATAATATCCCTCCCATAGCAGGACAACCAGAACTGTACACAGTACTTCAAAAGTGGTCTCACCAACATCCTGCACAACTGCAACCAGATGTCCCACAGCCCCAGCAGGTTTTGCAAAGGTTCAAAAAGTTGTGATGCATCCCAAATGGGGCTTGACCACTGACAGAATTTTACAAAAGTGTGGGAACACCTGAGTCTTAATACTGCTATTGAGGTTTGGGAAGGACAAAGCATCATATATTTGTTAAATATGAGGATAAATGCAAGGCTTCTGGACTCCCACCCTGAAGCAGGAAATGTAGGTTGAAGAATCAAAGCTGCAGTTTTGCAATTATGCTTCTGACCCATTCTATAATTGCAGCTCACTGCTGAAAGCATGTGGGCAGTTTAATTTGTCCCTTATGCATATTAATGTGAATTATCTTTTAAAACGATACAAGAGATTTTGCTTGATGAAAAATGCAGTTCCAATAAAGTTAAATATTTTCACATATTGATAACTTATTGATAAAACATTAGGTTCCTTTGCTCAGACAATAATCATATTTCACTTATATTAAATATCGGGTGTTTGGAATTATGTTTCTTTTAATCTTTGTGTTACCATTTTGATAGATATTTAATTCTTTAATAACTGAAAGAGAATATTTGCATTTTTTCTGACAAGTGTTAAAATAGCAGATGAAGTCTACGGTGCTGGAAATTGTTACCATATCACGTCAGAGCAATCAGACCTTTGACTTACTATTCATTTCTTTACATCTGACAATACTGGGTCAAAAATTCAGTTTTAGCATTCAAAATAATAATTTATTAGTATGGAGCATAAATATCCTGTATGAAGCAATTTTCTGTTGCTAAAAATTGTATGTAATGTTTAAATTTCCAATGTTCGCTTTGAACACAAAGCAAAGCATTGCAGTCTTTGTTAAAGAGCATTCCAGTCTTTCTTAAATAGCATTCCAACACTGGTAAATCCAAAGTGCTACTACCCACTGATTGGGCCCTTTGTGTGATCTTGACTTTGTTTCTACTCAATGATCTGGTCTTATTTTTCTTTGCAAGTTGCTTTTATGATGGATATGTGTTTTGCCAAGGACAAGTATCATGTAATAATTGATGCATGTACATTAGAATTAGTCCACAGAGCAAGTCAGTCCATTTTACATGTCAGAAATGCATTCAGAACTGTGACCTATCACACTAATGTACACAATGGGTCTGTGCTAGGGAATGATATATCACTGGTTCAAATTCTCCTTCTATCTCCCTCTCAAGTCTCCATTTTAAGCACATTATTCTTAGAAGTACCAGTGGAAAGAAGGTGATTTTCTCCAGAGGTCAAAGAAAGCTCATGACCAGATTATTCATTCACATCATTGAGCAAGTGAGAACTGCATTGAATGAGGCTGTGGATCGAGCCTGGCCTCTCAGCTGTAATTGGTATATCATGGATGTGACCAAAGAAAATTGAAAAGGATGGCGAAGGAGTTCCTACCTAGCAAAATATGTAATGTACTTAGTACTGTTGTGAGAAAGTTTGAGACTGGTGGGAGGAGGAGGTTGGGGGCGGCAAGATTAATGTATGATATTGGGTAGAGCAAGCTGCAAATTTTGATAACGTTCTCATAACAAATGATACCGAAGGAAGTTGCATGTGTGTAATTTATATTCTACTTTTCCATGTATAACGTAGTTCAAATAACATTATTTTGAAAGTAAATTACCTATTTTTATGCAGTCAAGTGTGAATTTGACATAGAGAAATGTGTTTCAATTTCAGGTTCCCTCAAGAACTTAACATGGGAAAAGTAAGTGCTGAGGTTATGTGGCAGCTATTTGCTCAGGACATGAAGTATGCTCTTGAAGGTAATTTATGATAACCCTGATATTTTTCTAAAAACTGGAACAAACCTATATAACTTGCTTGTAATGTGAATGTGATTGGAAGTACCAAGTTATTGGAATAAAAATATCTTGTTGCACTCTTTAGATACAAAGTCCACAGCAATTATCCAGTGACCTTAATAAAGATTTAATATTAAAGTCCAAACTCAATGATCAACTAATTAGGTTTCTCTGTTTCCAACTATGGAGTGCCCTTTCGTATAGGAGGAGTCACTTGTCTTTATTATTCTTGCATAATTGCAAATGGTGATTTAGTGACTAGTGAAAGCCTCAAATTTCAAATTTCAAATTACACTTCTTAATCAGAACACGTTAATGATGGAGGCAGACACTATGGATATCTCAACCAATCAGTAAGCTGCAACTCATTAGAGTTTTAGATATTGATACAAACTATGAAGATCTAATTTGAGATTACAAACTTCCAGTCAGCACAAGTAGCTTCTGCATTTATCACTACTGTAGTAGTTCCCATGATAAATTGAAGTCAGGCACTATGATAGTGACAGGGGTGTTGTAGAATGTAAAATGTGTTGCAATATAGACGGTCCTCTGCACTCGCTGGAAAATATACAATGCATCCCTCTTCCTGTGGCAGTGTCTGTTTTGTTCCCACTTTCATTTTTGTTTCTCTTGCTCTGTCTTTTAATTCGTATTTCTCTCTCTTTATCTTTGTGTATCTGTTATACTATCTGTGTCTGCCTTTGTCCCAGTTGCCTTCCTAAACCACAAAGGAGATTCAGTACTGCTTGTATGTGAACAAATGTACGTGGGACACTTTTGAAAGACAAATGGAAAGAGAACATTCTGTGCGTCCCCTCGGTTACACCGGGCAATGAAATAGAAGAGGTACATTCTGAATAATACTTTTTTTTGTGAAGCAAGAGCCCGACTACTTACACTGCTGTTGTCCTCGGCAACGTAGACTCTACCCCAAGGTCTACTTCATTTTCAGTTAGTTTGTATCCAGATTGCCCATTATTCAAAGTATAGGCCACCTGTTATGTTGTATGGTTCTCTGAAATTCAAGATAATCTCAAAACATTGGAGATGTTATATTATTAGATTACTCGTTCTTTAGGAGCAGATACCACTGCCTATTGCCCATTTGTTGCATGTCAGGAATTCAAATCACCTGTATTGTTTTATTCTTCCATCTTAATTTTTCTTAAGAAGGTGGATGTTTTATGTGGAAGAAGTAAATAGTTTGGGCCTGTACTCATTGGACTTCAGAAGATTGAAACATGTAGGATTCAGAGGTGGCGAATGGTAGGGGTGACGGATAATACTGAGAAGGTCTTTCCTCATTTGGTGGAAACTGGAACTTGGGGACATAGTATAAAAGTAAAGGCTCTTCCACTTGAGAAGGAGCAAAGGAGGAGTTTCTTCTCTCAGAGGGTCACAAGTGTTTGTAACACTCTCTCCCCCACCCCCCACCCCCCCACAAAGCCCCACCATGAACAAGTGAGGCTATGTCGTAGACAATTTTCAAGAATGAAATAGCACCTACCAACATAGCATTGCATGAGGGCGATGAGGATTATGGGTGACAAGTAGGAAGCTGGAGTTAAGGGCATACTAAGAGTTCAGCCATGATCTTATTGATTTTGAGAGCAGGCTTGAGGGGCCCAAGTGAACTTCTGCTCCTACTTCTCATGTTCTAAGACTTTTCTCTAATCTACTTTCTTTCATCATGCAGATACCTCCAATTTATATTCAAGTCTAAGACATACAAAACTATGATACCAAAGGAAATTGCATATGTGAAATTTATATTCTACTTTTCCAAGTGTAGCGTAGATCGAATAGCATTATTTTGAAAGTAAATTACCTATTTTTATGCAGTCAAATGTGTATTTGACATAGAGAAATGTGTTTCTGAGGATTACCATTACATTTCCTAAGTGTCCTGCTATAGTGCCTTTAATAACAGCTTCTAACATCTTTTCTATGAGTGATGTGAAGCGAACTGACCAGTAGTTTCCTGCTTTCTGCCTCCCTTTTTGAATAACAGAGTTATATTCACTATTTTCAAATAATAGAGCCTTCCCTGAATCTAGCGAATTTTGGAAAATTAAAACCAACATCAAAAATCTGATCATTTTTAAGCTCTGAAGATGAAGTCCATCAGAACCTAGTGAATTGTTAACCAATAACTCCAACAATTTGTTCAGGATTACTTCCAATGTGATTGGAATTTTCTTTAATTCCTCTCTCCCTTCCAATTCCTGATTTACAACCACATTTTGGATGTGACTTGTATCCTGTATAGTGAAGACTGACATAAAATACCTTTGGACGTAAATTAACATTCTTCATCCCACTCTTCTTTCCTTCAGGTTGAATGTTATATCAGTCATATTGTTATTGCTACCTTCAGCACCATCAGTACAAAGTGGTTTATTTAGTCTACAGTTTTGCATAATACCCAATCGAATATAACCTCCTCGCTGCTCAACTCAAGAACATGCAGTTCTAAGAAAAATTCTGTGAAGTGCACATTTAAGCTACCTTTACAATGTATAGTAATGGCTTGGATAAGAGAATAAAATGTACTATCACCAAGTTTGCAGATGACACCAAAGTAGGTGGGAAGGCAAGAGGTGTGGATGAGGCAAATAGCCCAGAGTGAGATTTTAGGCAGGTTACATGAGTGGAAAAAACTTGGCAGTTGGAATATAATCTGGGAAACCATGAGGTTCTGCACTTTGGCTGGAAGAAGAGAGGAACTGAATATTATTTGAATTAAGAAAGACTACAGAAAGCTGTAGCACAGAGAGTTGTAGGGCTCCTCATGCATGAATTACCAAAAGCTAACATCCAACCTCTTTGCCCATTGTAATTTTCTAGTCTATATGTAGATTAAAATCTCCATGATTGATGCTGTACCTTTTTTGACAAGCTCCCACTATTTCCTCATTCATGTAAATTTCGACTGTGTGGTTACATTCACCACCCATTCAGTTAAGTTTCTTCTGGATTTTATATGTCACAATAAAATGGCCCTTCATTCCTCTATCCTCTAGTAGGTATGGGCCTAACCTGCTCAACCTTTCCTCTTGATAACCCCTTTATCCCATGAATTAGGACAATAAACACTGGCTCTGATGGTGATGTGCAAACTCATGAATGATAGGAGTTTAGAAGTGCACAGAACGTGGAAGTGAGACCACTCAAGGGACCTTGGAAGTGTAGCTTTAAGGAAGGGAGTTGTCACTGAGGGTGGTATGGGATGATCCAATGGAGCAGTTAGAATCTGATCTGGAAGCACCACTGGATTCACCATGTGCCAGCTTTGGAGTGGAATTATAAGGAGGATAACAGAGAAAGTTGGATCAGCCTGAGTGTGGTCATTGCGATGGTACTAAGTGGGACAATGGAATCTCAAGTCAATGAGGTGAAATATCAGACTGTAAGGAGGAAAATGGGAACCTAGGAATTGTGAAGTCTGAGAGAACTGAGCGAGGAGCTCAGGCTGGGAGCCACCAAGGAATAAGAAAGAAAGTATCTTTTGAGTTGTGATACATGAAAACACAACAGACACAGAAATTTTAATTAGAAAGATTGATGTATGTGACCTTCATGGTGAGGTTTATTCAATCTTGCATTTATTTAGCCAACAGCAGCTCTCAGTGCAAATGTCTGTAACCAGTGCAGTCCATGTTATTTGTTGCCTAAAGTCACAAATGAAGAAAGATTACCAATTATGAATAAATCACTGCAAAATAAGTTATGATTTCAGTGGAAAATAATATAGACAGTATTTTTAATAAACTGCTAATAGGCAGGAGAAAAATACCTGTCAGTGTTACAAATGTATAAGTGAAAGAATTACATATATCTGTTCATACGTAGTAATATAATCGAGGATTTTGATGATATCAAACTGCTGGAGTGAAACCTAATTAACTCAATAGTCACATGTAAATCTTCCTTAATTGTCAGGTGAAATGGGATTGGTGAGCCATAGTATACAGAGCTTACTTGATCTGAATTTTTTTTTGAAAGCTTTCGAAATTCATTTACTCCATATGTAATGTTTCATATGCTACATAAATCCTAATTTTAAGGAATGCTCGTATAGAACTCATCACTGAAATTACACCCTCCTGCCACTGATGGCAGCACAGCATTTCCTCTGGAGGAGGGTATATGTTTATCTGACAAGTTTTACATGAGCATTATAGATATGAGCATAAGAATTTATAATCCAGAGATTTACATGTGTTCATGCAAGGGATTTTATATATCCATTTTAATGTATTTCTCTGTGTATTCAGAGGGTTGAGTTTAGGTATGGCTCAAAATAAAGGGTGTTTATGCAAGAGAATGTGAAAAGTGCACTGTGGTAGTCCCAGCATCAACATATCATCTGTGGTCTTTGGAATTCTCTACACCAGAGAACTGTGGATGCTTCAAGACAGAGATCAATAGATCTTTGGGCATGATAGGACCAAAGGGTGAGGAGATAGTGTGGCAGGGTACTTACTGCATCCTGTTCTGGTCACCCTGTATTGGAAAGGATATTATTAAGCTGGAGAGAATTCAGAAGAGATTTACCAGGATGTTGCCGGGAATACAGGGTTTGAGTTATAAGGAGAAGCTGGATAGGTGGGGACTTTTTTCACTGGATCGTAGGAGGTACAGGGGTGATCTTGTAGAGGTTTATAAAATCATGAGGGGTGTAGACAAGGTGAATGGCAGGTGTCTTTTCCTTGGGTGGAGGATTTCAAGACCAGGGGAGCATATCCTTAAGGTGCAAGGAGAAAGATTTGAAAAAGGACACTGGCAATTTTTTTTACACAGAGAGTGGTTCGTGTGGGGAATGAACTTCCAGAGGAAGTGGTGGATACAGGTACAGTTACGACATTTAAAAGACATTTAGATAAGCACTTGGATAAGAAATGTTCTGAAGGATATGGGCCAAGCGCAGGCAGTTGGGACTAGTTTAGTTTGGGATA